TCTACGTAGCTAAGTTATTAATTTTTTTTTCTCACTTGATAACCCCTAATTTCACAGAAAGATGTGTCAAGTTGTTAACTTGCATGCAACTTACAACATGCAACTAGCAGCATGAACGTGTCACTGTGTAAAGTCAGCCACAAGGCAGGGGTTTCTGTATTAAATGCCACTAAGTGATGACATTTTCATTATTATATGATAATTGAAATGATGAACAGAAATGTCTGTGAGCAGGAGGACATTGGGCCTTGTTCACTAATATCTCAGTAAGTTTCTTCTTAAACTTCTTCTTGTGAAGGTCCTAAGAAAAAGTCTACATCAGATTCATGATGTGTTCTTAAACCGCAGAACTGTTCACACCTTTGTGCTCTTGAATGTGTGTAGATTCTGTTCTTACCTAAGAACTTATTCCACATAAAACATTGATAAATGTCAGAATCTTTGTGAAAACTGCGAAAGTGAGTTTTATGGTTGGTGAATGAGGCCCATTGTGTATTGGCAATATTAGTTCACTCTAAATGAGTTTCTTTGTGAAAGAATTGTTTATTATGATTATAATTAATAATAACTGAAAGGTATTCATGTTGTCGGCATTTAAGAAATGCAATAAGTCACTTGAGGTGAGTGTGTGATTTTATAACAGTTAAGAGTGTTTTACTTCACTTTTCTTTAATAAGTACTTTAATAATCAAATATATTTTGGAAGAAAAAACACTGCAGGTGAGATGTTTAGTGGAGGTATCTTTCAAAATGTAACCTCTTATAAAGTATATATACAACTTATTTGGCTTCATTGCTTCATAAAGCAGCTCAGCCTGTATGGACTCCTGCTATGAAATTGCGAGATGTAAACTGAGCAGCGGCTGAAGCAGCTGTGCCGCTGCAACACTCAGAGCCACGCAGGGGAGATTATTTCTATATTTAAATCTCGCAAATGGAAGAGGGTTAATGGAGTGACTATAAAAATTTGATTATGGAAATACAAGTTCAGATGAGGGTCGAAGACAGCAGACCAAACTGCTCTACAGCGCAGTCAAATCTACAGACAAAATGACTGTATTATCCTGTTAGTACATACTGGCTGCATCTCAGTGTGGGCAGAAGAGGAAAGACAGTAGTTGAAATGTTGAAATGATAGTTTATGGTCTCCTCTCTTACACAGTTTACGCAACTGACAGAGAAAAGAGCTTTGATTTAGTTCATCTCCACATTAATGAAATACATCACATCAACACAATCACTGTCTTTCTGTTTACTTACTTTTGACAATAATTGTTTGGAGGCAATAAAGTTTATTCATGTGCAAGCACTGTATCGCTGAATCAAGAATGGGTTAATACTTACATTTTTTTGATATAAAAGAGATGAAAGTATTATAGGTAGACATTGTAAAAGTTTCAAAATGCAGTCCATATATGGAAACTAAGCTGTAAAAACAGGCCATTTTTAAATTACTATTTCTGTGATGTCATGAAAGCCAACACATTTACATATATGCACCTGTTCGGACTACAGCAGTTCAGCTCCACCCAGTCATATTGAGTGTTTCTGCTCTGTGAGCTTATTGAATGAGGTGCAACACAGGGCAGCCAATCAGAGCAAGGCTTATATACATATCAGTCAGTAACAAAAAACAGCCTATTTAATTCTAGGGGATAAAGAGAGGTTGGAAAACAGTTGTGTAAAGATGAACTATGAGCATTGTTAGTACATAAAACCACATCAGGGCCCTTTAATTTGATTTGGGTAAACCTTTATATAAGAATGATGAGGCTGCGGTTTAGACTGCTTTATACAGTGCAGACATTAAGTAACTGCACAGCTGACAGTTTTTGTTGTTGTGGCTCTGAACTGGACTTGAAATAAAACAGTAATTAAAGTCTCATTGTAAAAATTATACATTCTAAGCGATACAGGTCAAGCTTCTTGTCCAAAAAGAAATAGAAGTAATTAACTATTATTTGCGAAGTAAATTGGGAAAGTAACTTAATTTGTGCAGTCTTGAGGAGCCTGCCTCTGAACAGAGGCTCACTTGTGGTTTTGTTTCTGCTAATTAGCTTGTATTTCTTAGTCTACAGTTCATTTCACAGGACTGTTTTTTTCTAATGTTATTCTTATGGCACTCTTGAGCACCTCGGCGTCTTGTGTTCTCTCAAATCACTGTCTCAGGTATATTTGCTTGTCATTGAAATCCATTAACCCACCCCCCATAAACATTTTCAACAATAATAAAGAGAAAACATAGATAACATTTCAATATCAAAACAAATTACATGTTACAATGACAATAGACAACATAGACTCTCTGACGATATGTATTTAGTGTCTAATGTGTATGTTTTTATATACTTTTTATTTACTTCTGTATTTAAGGACTACAATGTTGGGTACACACCTAAGATTTTCACTCACCTTCACAACTGTGTCAATGTGATGTAACAATAAACATGATTTGATTTGACTGTCATGGGGCCTCGAACGGCCTCGGACGGCCACAGGCCCAAAGAGGCTCAAATACAAGATTTACAAGATCAAATATGAGATTTTGCTGTTGCTGTTCAAAAGGGATGTTTTAGATGGTGTGATGGTTGTAGATTCTACCCTTCAAAGCATGTAGTACTACTACTACTATCACGATTCAAGTTTATCTTTAGACATACAGATCTTGCACAGGTACAAACTGTCACAATCTAGACACAACAGTATATCACACATTAACACGGCTAATCATTGGGTCTCATTCACCAACTGTTTTTAAGAAGAAATTTCTTCTAAAATCCACTTACGCAGTTTTCACGAACATTCTGGCATTCACCAGTGTTTTCTTGTTTGGGATTTGTTCTTAGGTAAGAACAGAATCTACGCACACTCAAGAGCACTGAGGGGCGAACAATTCAGTGCTTTAAGAACATGTCATGAATCTGACATAGACTTTTTCTTAGGACCTTTCTCAAGAACTATCCATCCATCCATCATCTAAACCGCTTATCCCTCTGGGTCGCGGTGGGGTGCTGGAGCCTATCCCAGCTGTCATTGGGCGGAAGGCAGGATACGCCAGTCCATCGCAGGGCAGACAGACAGACATACACATTCACACACTCACTCACACCTAGGGGCAATTCAGCATGTCCAATCAGCCTAACTGCATGTCTTTGGACTGTGGGAGGAAACCGGAGTACCCGGAGGAAACCCACGCAGACACGGGGAGAACAGGCAAACTCCACACAGAAATGACCCTGGTCACCCAGCCGGGAATCGAACCCAGGCCATTCTTGCTGTGAGGCGACAGCGCTACCCACTGCGCCACCGTGCTGCCCTCTCAAGAACTAATTTAAGAAAAAACATAGGAAGATGTGTGTGGGCGAATGAGGCCCAATTTTCTTTTCTAAACAAAGAAGAAACTAATTTGCATTTTGCAAGGTGCATGTTAACACTCTTGTATTGATTTATTTATTTAGCTAATTAGTTAGTGTCAGTGCTGGGCACAGCTTTTTAACAATGCAGGAGTTGAAGTGCATATGATTGTTTTATGTGAGGAAACAACAGTAAAAATTTATAATTATGTTTTCATCAAAAAAACTTGAAAACTATGAAAATTTTGGTAACACTTTACTTGAAGGGTGTCTACATAACACATTTACAACATCTTACATTTACACCTCATAACATTTTAATGAATGTTTAAATCAACATTTATAAAGTGTACATGTTTTACATGACATTAATATGGACTACAATGTCATTTTATTTTCAGTAAACACCTCATTTTTAGCCATCCCTTTGGCCATTAAGTGCTTTGACATTTTTCACCTATAGTTTCATCTAATTCTTTTTTTGATTTTTCTTAAACATTTGTTGATTTCCGTGTCAGTTATTATATGGACAGTAAATTACTCATAAATATGCTATGAACAATCATTTGACTGAATCTTAGTATGGTGGTGGGAATTTTACAGGACCATAATACTCATCCATTCTCTGTAGATGCTAAATAGCCAGATTAATATAAGTAGACTACTTTGCATTGCAGTTTAAAGATTCACAGAACATGCATTTCAGTCTGGTTAGGTTCCATCACTTTTGAGGTAAAACAGAATTTATTAATACTTGGGATAACAGTGCAACATTTAGCCTCAAAGAGTGGCAATTAAATGGGGTAACCAACGCACAACTGTGCCTTCTTCAGTACCATAAGCGAGGAGGAACATCACTAACAAGGCTAGCATTTAACTCCAAGGGAGTTAAACTTAGTATAAATAACATTTTCCTCAACAATGTTTTGTTGATTTTACCCTTTGGCACAATAAAAATGTTAAAGAACATATAAAGTAAAAGGCGGAAAGAACAAAAATGCAAAATATAAATGCTTAAGAAGAAACAAAGAATTACAAAGAAGTTGAAAGCGTCAAAGCACTTAATGACCAAAGGGGTAAAGCCAGGTCATTATTATTTTGGCTGCCCTGAGATGAGGCATTTCACTGAAAATAATATAGTTTATCGAAATAGAAAAGGAGGACTTTTATTTTGAAAAAAAAATCTTTCAGTGAAATGACATAGTATTTCATATTAGTATCATGTATCATGTATGCTTTATGAATTTATGTTGATTTAAATAGTTATGAATTATTATTATTAAGTGTTTATGTAAGATATTACAAATGTGTTATGTAGACACCCTTCAAGTAAGTGTTACCAAACTTTTAATTAGGAATAAAAAAAGAGCAGATGTTCCCGCCTGAAGTGTTTATACTACAGAGCTGAAGTCTTGGACTGGTCACTCATGTTTCACATACACGCTACACTGATGTGTCATGTCTAGTGTGGATTCTATTCAGTTTCTAATGAGATTCACAAGATATCAGATTTAACTTCTGTTTATTTATAGCGATATTATGGTCAGCTACCTACTACTGACCTTTATTACAGTCTTATTATATTTTACTGCTGACTGACCCCAACGTGTCTGTTGTTTGTTCTCTTTCTGGCTCTTCTCTGGTCAGCCGGTCAATGATGAGATGTGTGAGGTGTGTGAGGTATGGACGGCGGATGATCTGTTCCCGTGCCGGACGTGTACGAGGGTGTTTCACGATGGCTGCTTGCGAGAGATTGGATACCTGCGGGCAGACGCTTTGCAGGAGATGCGGGAGTCAGCACACACAACTACAGGCTGGAGCTGCTACTACTGCGTGAGTCTACACACATAAACTCTTAGCTCACTTTATCAGAAACCCCTCTCTTAGCTCCACCTTGCTGGTGTACAGTTAGAGACCATCTATAGATGCACAGTTTGTGCTAACCATTTTCCCTCACAGAGCCACTCTTTGTTCTGGACATTTTTGGGTGGTGGACCACTCTCAACCTGTCAGTGACCATGCTGGAGGGCAGAGGGAGCTGGTAAATGAACTCTAATGTAGTAACTGATTACATGGCTTTTCTTGAGTTGACAAGGGTTCAAACTGACCAACTCCTGGTGTAGTAATGATTAGGTCTTTGTACCACTCAGGAACACATGAAGCACAAAGCATAATACGCAATAGGCAATATTTGTTCTTTCAGCTTTGCTTAATGGTGTGGTCTCATGTTGTGCAACTGTCTAATAAGTCATCCCAACATCAGAAGATTGTGAGTTTGAGTTCCAGCAATGCCACAGGTGTCTATATCCAGAAGCCCAGGAGGAAAAAAAAAGCCAGACGAAACTGTGTGATGGAAGGATTGTCAGCTAGTGGGGAAACTGGGTGAAAAATGTGAATTCTATTTTGTTTATCTAACTGAGATACAAGCCTAGAAACTGTAGCTTTGAGATTTTTTACTCAACTGAGACATTTGAGTTATGTGAACTCTTGTATCCTCAAGCTGAGTCAACTCAAGAAAAGCCATGTAATCAGCTACTATATCATTTTCAGTAGAGCTGCCCCCTCATTTTTACAGTGCAGCAAAAAATGAGCTGCACTCTGTAAGTCTGTGGCCTGCAGTAACTGCAAACCTACTCACTGTAAATAAAACTGGCTTGTATAGAATTTGTCAATTTATATCATTCATTAAATAGAAATTTACGCAGAAGCATCAACAACTAAACATAATGTTAGATTCTGTGTGTCCACTCTTAACCTTTACTACAGCTTCCATTCTTTTTACGAGACTCACTTTCAGTTTTTCAAAGGAATCTGCAGCCACACCTCCAAAGTTCAGTTTCAGAAGTTGGTTGCACTTTTGGTAATCCCAAATTTAGTGATGTTGAGGGTGGACAATCCATTGGTCTGATAAGAGATGTGCAGATCGATTCTGAAATGGTGATTCTTCTGAGCCTGATGTTTCTTTTTGACGGTCGATCCTCATATGACCTTATCAAAACTAGGTGTTTTCTTTATATAAACTGAATCTACATCAGTCTTAAACAGACAGAGAAAAAGTTAAAAAAAAGGAAAATCAAAGAGCAAATTAATGTGAAGGATAGGAACTATTTTCTGCTCCGAACTCTCCCTCTACTTCTCACCCACACACACACAAGCACAGACAGCCCCATGAGACACAGTGAATGCTCTTTAATTGCACATCATTTGGAGTTACAGTCGTATGCAAACGTTTGTGCGCCCTGGGCAAATTTCATGTTTTGTTGGTTTTGAAAATAAGTTCCTCTACAGAGAAGTTAACTTCTGTTAATGCACAATTACTGTTTATTTGCTGCATTGAACATATTGGGGGAAAGAAAAAATGGTCATGCAAAAGTTTTGGCACATTTTACATTTTATGTTTTTACAGTATGTTAAATTCAGCAATTTAACTGTGCACTAAAATGTCTTTTTTACATTCCTTACTTATTATCTTATTTTCACTAAGAAAATCAACAAAATGTACTTTGATTGGGGTGTTAAATTTTGCTGTATATATGTTAAATGTGATGCAACCAGACGAATCAGACGCTTGTGGTAAAAATCAAAAAGAGAGGCCTTTTTTTGTCAAGGGCTCAAGCGAAACTTGTAGTCGTGAAACAGGCAGAGGTCAAATACGAAAAAATCCAAAGACAGAAAAGAAAAATCATTACAACCAGGCAACCAATTCAAAGGGGCAGAGACAAGCAGACAGAGTCGAAAAATTCCAGGCAGACAAAACAGTAACAAGAAGGCAATCGGAAAAACGCTCAGTAGCTCTCACTCGAAGAAGCAATACCTCGCAAAGTAACTAGTCTAAAAGCCAGGGATTTATACTCAGTCTAACTAGACACATGACAGAACAGGTGTGCAAGATTAGTACTCAGGAGAAGGTGATCGATGATCGCTGAGAAGAGTCATCGGTCATGTAATCCCCAAGAGGGTTCTGGGAAATGGAGTTCATGAGCATCTCAGAGCCGGAGGGATGTGTGACATTAAAATTGGCTGTTTTTCTCTAAACAGACAATTTATGTGGCAGTTTATTTTTTAGCAATGCAAAGACTTTCAAATATAATTTTAACATCCACTGTTCTTCTGGTTTTCACTGTAGAAAGCAAATAGAATTCCCTCTTTTGAAAGTATTGGTATTGGCACTGGGATATTTGCCTTGAAAATAAGAAAAGAGAATTAGTGGTATTTCCAATCCTGTCTCCTTTTCTCAGTGAGGCTTTTTGACAGCTACATATCCTTTCAGACCCATAGCGCTGAGTTGTCTTCTCACAGTGGAAGGATGGACAGAAACACCTGTGGATTTTTCCAGATCTGAATCAGCTTGATTTTCTCCTCTCTCTCAAAGATGAAAGCGTAATATACTGTTTACTTTTTTGCACGGTAATTAGGAGTAGAGGTCTGCACTCTCAGAGGATTCCCCCTGTACCTGCAGGACCCACCACAATATCTTGCGACACAGGACTAATTTTCAGTGCTGGGCATGGGAGTGGGTGGGTAACAAGCCCCCTGCAGGCAGGAGAGGGACGAGGGACGAGGATGAGAAATCCTGCAAATTAATAAACAGCCTAAATAAAGTAGAATGATCATCAAATCATATATATATATATATATATATAAACAGTATAAAATGAAAACAGTAAACCATTAAAAATGAATTAAGTCATTCTAAAGAGTTGCGAAGCAGCCGATCATGAACAATATGCAAATTCTTGTAGCTTACAGAAATGGCAGAGCCTTCATTCCGACAGCCACAGCTGCCAAAACACCAAAAATAACCACTCTGTGGTTTAATTCCTGCTTTGTCTTTACTGGATGTAAGTGGCATAGGATGAAGTTATAGGATGAAGAGCCTGATGACCATGACTGCTGTGTTATTTCCGCAGAGAATAGTGTATTTGTGAATAGACTATATCAAATATTGGATGTCAGTTTGCATTGATGGAACTGCACAGGTGGGAGCAAGCCAAAACATTTTGGTTATGAGCTGGAGCAGGACAAATCACTCTGATTTTCTGTGGGAGTGGGATGAAATCTTTTGGGAGTGGGCGGGAGCAGGACTAAAAAAGAGTCCTGCTGTAGTTATGTGTCCCAGTTGGTTGTTAGGAACACTAATTTTGGAAACTTCTATTTTTAACTTGTTTTCTTTTGACTTTCTCAATCCTTGTGCACATGGGTTATCTTATATTAAATTATCTTAATATTTAATGGAAATGAAATAAATAAAGGTGAAGAGTGGTTTCTGACTTTTGCACAATACTGTGTGCACTAATAGATAACCCTGACTGATCTGAGCCCTCATCTCAACCTTGGGAAATGTGTGATACTGTGGCATCAGCAAAAAAATAAACAGCGGGAAAAATAGCGCTTTAAGTAAATGCTCTTTTATTGAACATAGCAGTAGGTGAGAATCTTAATCACTGCTGAAATGGATAAGACAGCAGGCAGGTCACTTCACCCGTACACTTTCACCTGACTGTAGGCACTGCACTAACTAGCCCACAGACCAACATAATAGCACACAAACATGTACACACTTTTCACTAACAACATTTGTGGATATATGAGCCAGTAGCTGGATGCTACAATACCCGAAAATGAGTTGGTATCAGTTTGACTATTCTCAGAGCAAACCAGCCATTTCAATCCATTGTCTCCGTGTTTATTCCATACACAACATAGAGTGTATCTAACCACCTTTTACCCTTAAGGTCATTTTGCATTTACTTAGGTCAGGCTCAACTCATTTACATCAAGATTCCCCCTGGTGCTGCGCTTGGGAAAGGTTAAGGGAAAAAAGAGCATGTAGTGGATCATTGTGTCATGTTGGAGGGTTTGTACTCGTCTGATGGAGTGGTCTCTGTGGCTGCTGGAGGTTTGTAAGCTGTATGTGCGGAGAGCGGCTGTCAGACTCTGCCAGCGTCTTTCAGACTGAAGCACACGGCTTATCACAGCCTTGCAGGCCGCTCAGGCTTAAACTGTTCTGCGGGCTTGTGGAGAGTGTGAGGCGTTGTTTTATGTGTGAGAGTCTGAAGACTGGGAATTGGCTTTATTCTATACATACACAGACCAATGCATGCATCCAAACACAAAAATGCATGCACACATTCATGCTTATGCTTTACAAGCATGCTTTGTTACAACATCATGGGTCTGCTTTCTTTGGAAGAGTATGAAGTGTTTTAGCGAGCAAAAATCAGATCAGAATCAGAATTGGTCTCCATTACTGGTCTTCACAACTGCCTCTATAGATGCATGCACACCAATTCATGCACACAATTCCTGCATCTATGCGCATGCATAGAACAGCCAAAAGAGGCCATTAATAGAGCCATGTGGCGGAGACTGTGGTGTTGTCTGTGAACTGGTCTGGTTCCAAAAGTTCATGCACACTTACACTTGTATGCAAATACAAGAAAATGCACACATGTGCAGTTCTACCACATTCAGGCTTTTCAAGAACACTCCCACATTCATGCTGTTCTAGAATGTTCTCCGCATTCACACTGTACTAGAACTGTGTCTCCCTTTTACTCTGATATAGAATGTTTTCCTATCATCCCCTTAGTTCTAGAATGTTCCCCTCACATTCACTCTGTTCCAGAGCCCATTCACTCTGTTCTAAAATGTTCTCCTCTCATTCACACTGTTCTAGAATCATCTCTCATAGAATGTTCTACTCTCACTCACACTGTTCTAGGGTTCTTTCACTCTGTTCTAGAATGTTTTCCTCTCATTCACACTGTTCTAGAGTTCATTCACTCTGTTCTAGAATTGTCCCTCCCATTCACACTGTTCTAGAGTTCATT